CTCCAGGAACCCCCAGACAACTGCAGACAACTCCAGGAACCCCCAGACAACTGCAGACAACTCCAGGAAACCCCAGACAACTGCAGACAACTCCAGGAAACCCCAGACAACTGCAGACAACTCCAGGAACCCCCAGACAACTGCAGGAAACCCCAGACAACTGCCGAAAACTCCAGGAACCCCCCAGACAACTGCAGACAATTCCAGGAAACCCCAGCAGTTGTGTGACGAGGCATCTCCGTTGCCATAGTGAACTGCTCTCCTGGCTGAGCCAACTCCCCTGTTGAAATAAGGTGTGCGAGCCTCAAAACCAGACCCCAACTGCCACCTGTCACCCGGTCCTGGCTCACAGCGGCCCCATGTGGAATAGCAGGACTGTGCCCTGGGCCATGCTTTCTGGGCTCATCTTTAGGAAGTGACCACCCAGCCTTTCTTGTGCGGTCCCTTGAGGGTGGGGTGGGGTGGGGTGGGTGGTGGTGGTGGCGTGTGTCCGGCTGTCCTTCAGGTTGGCTTTTGATGTGACGTTCATTTGACGCAAGTTCGTGAAGTACTCTCTGAAATAGCTTCATGGGGGCATGTTTTATAAGCAGACAGTTCCCGAGCTCTGGCCATTGCTGGAGCAGAGGACCGGTCACAAGCGAGCACTGAAGAAAGAGTCCAGAGTAATTTCCTCTTCAGGAAGCGGGGTGGGGACTTCGGGGGTGGTCAGGGGGTAGTTACTTGTTCTTGAGTGTGTGCCAGTCAGGGCGATGTAATGTGTGCAGAGGGGCTCCGCTCCAGGGCCTGGGGCCTCAGGGCTCTGGCCTCTTGGAAGTAGACACCAGCCTTGTCTTGTCTTTCCAAGGCTCTCTGGGTTCAGGTTACCCACCTCTCAGGCTAGTGGTTGAGCACTTAATTACTGATGCCACTTGGGCATTGGGCATGTTGTCTGCCAGAGGCTGTCAAGTAGGTTCCAACCCATTGCTACCCCGTGTGCATGGGACCGAAACCTGCCGGTCCTGCACCGTCCTCGCCGTTGTTCCTGTCCCTGAGCCCATGGTTGCAGCCACGGTGTCCGTCCATCTTGTCCAGGCTCTGCCTTTGTTTCATTGCCTCCCCCCACCCCCCCATCAAGCATGATGTCCTTCTCCGTGTCCTGGTCCCTGCTGACGTCTCAAGCACGGGAGGCCAAGCTTCTCTACCTGTGTGAACCCAGGTTGCCTACAGAGACAAATCCAGAGATACTCGTGTGTAAGAGCTCTGTATCAAGATGCAGTCATACATCTTAGAAACAACCCAGCCTGGTCCAACGCAAGTCCCTAAGTAATGATAGTAGTCACTTACGCACACCTGCGTGGCTCAGCTGCAGCACAGGGGGCGTGTCTGGGGCCCGGTGATCTCTGCTGGGGTGGGGACAGAGGCGCTTTGCAGTGTATCTCAGGCCATTTCACAGCACCCCTCACCTTTACTTCTTGGATACCAACCGCACCCCCGGCCTCCATGGGGACAGCCACCTTCATAAGTCAGCCCTGGCCAGGGCCCCTTCCTAGGGGAGTGGAGGGGTGAGGTGCAAATTTGCCCCTGCTGTGGGAATCGGGGCAGGGTGGGGAGGGACCAGCACGGGTGGTCACAGCTGTTGCACCCCGAGAGTGCGCCTCGTAGCATGTGGGTGTGGAGCTCCCACATGGACCAGGGCCCTTGCTCTTGCCGCCAGCAGCAACTTAGCTCCTGGCTCCGACCCCATCCTCCCTTCATGGCTTGCTGTGGTGCCCAGGCTCCAGGGTGGCTTCCACATCTTGCTCACTGGGTGCCTTAGTGCCTCCCTCAGGTCCTGCGCGGCATGCGCGTGCACGTGTGTGTGTGTGTGTGTGTGTGTGTGTGTGTGTGCATCCCCATTGCCACCTCCGACTATTACAGAGCCCAGTGGCTACAGGTCTCCCTGTCCGTGCATGCATCCCTGGTCCTCATCCCCTCCTTGGGCAGCATTGGCCTGGGGATTGCATTGAGGAACCTGGCTCCGCTGGCGTTACTTGTGTATTTATTTATTTATTATTTGGATGTGGCTCAGACCCATACATAATTCAATACCCTCATTTCACAGCCCATGAAACAAACTCCGGTCCAGAAAGAGCGTTTCATAATTAATTAGGAGAACAGAGGCGGCCAGGGTTCCACTTTTTCTTAATCCCACGATTTTGCTCGGTTCTTTTTGTACCCACCAGGTGTGTGCACCCACAGGCTGTGGGGTCAGAGGCTGATGAGGCCCCTGCACCAGCGGGTGGGGTGGGTGGGTGGGGGTTGTGTGTTGGGTTTCCCCCGATGCATGGCTCCCCAGCCTGCTTGACCTTGGAAGCTGCATAGAGAGAGGGAGGGAGGCAGGAGAGGGGTTTCTGCTTGCTTCTGTAGGGTGCTCCCTCACCCAGGTTCCTCGATTTGGGATTTGGAAGGCGTCTGAGTACATGTGGGAGGGCCACTGAGACCTCCCCACCCCCTCCAGACTCGCTGTGTCTCTACCTAACCAGGACTCCACCTCACCCTGACGTCAGAGGTTCAAACCCAGCAGCCGCTCCAAGGGAGGAAGAGGAAGCTGTGTGTTCCTGTAAAGAGTTGCATTCTTAGATTCCCACAGGGGCAGTTGTAGCCTGCATTATAGGGTCACTGAGCTCCTGAGGGGAGTGGGCACGGGGTGACGGGGAGGGATGACACGTTCCTAGGGTCTCCTGTGTACATGAGCAGATCATCAAGTCGTTCTTCAATGGAGTCACTGGGTGGCCATGAACCAACCTGCCCCATATCACTGAGCACTTAACCACTGTGCTCCTAGGGACACCAGTCAAGCCAAACTCCTCCCGTGGGGTACAGATTCCCTCCTCACCGGGCACAATGTCACCCTGCATGTCACGGGCCTCCTCCCACCCCCGCCGTACAGAAGGAAGCCTCAGTGATGTGGACCGTGAGCTCTAATCAGATGAGGACCGTGAATTCTGATTGGACATGAACTGTGAGCTCTGATCAGACATGGACTATAAGTTCTGATTGGACATGGACTGTGAGCTCTGATCGGATGTGGACTGTGAGTTCTGACCAGAGGGTGATGTGTTATGTGGTTGCGTGTGTCTCTGCTGTGATATTTCTTAGAGCGTGGGAAGAAATACCAACAACAGCACTGTTTGCCAAACTCTTTCTCTGCTGACTGGCAGCCTAATGAGTTGCAGCGGCATTCTCAACAGAGCGGACACATCTTTATTTCTTTCCTTCCTTAATCATTACCACATTCTCAAAGGAGTCTGAGATGTAGGGCACAGCTGCTACGTACCACAGGGTAGTAGCTAAGGCACCAGAAACTGACAAAATCAGAGATGATAGAACCAGCTTGTGACTGTATGTGCACATGTGAGTGTGCGTGCCTGTGGCATGTACCCCTGCAACTGTGTGATTCAAAGATCATTGTAATTAGCGTGCACTCACTCACTCACTCACTCACTCACTCACTCACTCACTCCCTGCCATATGCCCATCACGGTGACCTTATAGGACAGGGTAGAACTGCCCCTGTGAGTTTTCGAGAGACTGTCTATGGGGCGGAGAGCCTCCTGTTTCTCTCTTGAAGGACTGACTGTGCTGTTGACTGGTCATTGTTGCCCCTTGACCCCCTGTAGTTTTTCTAGCTGTTGAACACCCCTGGGTCTGTGTGGGGTCATGGTCCATTCACGGGGTGCTGAGAAATTTGGGACGGGTTTGGGTCATAGTCTCTGTGTGCTTCGCAGGGCACTGAAGGGTGGCCTTCACCACAGATAGCCGCCAGCCTGACTGCCTGGTAATGGAGGCTCAAGTTAGCCCTTGAGCTCTGACTGGGCTGTAGGACGTATTCCTGTTGATGCTTTTGCCTCACTGTTGGGGGTGGGGTGCATGCCCACTGCAGGATGTTCCCGTTGATGCTTTTGGTTCCCTCTGGAGGGCGGGGACTCAGCTGCTGGGCATGCTCCGATTGATGCTTTTGCCTTACTCTGGGTCTCCTTCATTCACAGGTAACTGACAGGGGCAGCTCCACAGGCCTCAACGTCAGCGCTGGAAATTACGTGGGCTAGACGCTGCGCACTTTGTTCTGAGTAAGTGATGTCGTAACACGTGGGTTTGTTACTGAGTAGGGAGTGGCCTGGTGGCCGCCCCTCTTCTCTGTGCTTGGATCATGAGCACGGCGGCAGCTGCCTTGGCTGCGTGGACATGGCTGTGGTGAGGAGGACACGAGGCGCGTGCAGGGAGACACACATGTCCATCTGCGCCGGCTCTCCCTGCACCCTGGGAGCTGCGGGTACACTCCCTGAAGCAAGGGGAGGCGGCGTTCAGATGCCCAGCTGCAGGCATAAGTCAATTTCCCCGCCCTTGCTCACTAGGAAACCCAAGCACTCTCCTTTGCTCAGAAAAGGGATGTATTGTAAAAACCCACCAGCCAGCAATCTGAGGGCCATCCTGTCCAGGGGGATGGAGCCCTGCAGTTGTGTTGGTGGTGGTTGTGGTCTAGTTGTGCTGTGGTATTTTTTATCTGCTGTGGGGTCCCATTGTCTTATGTGTTCTGAGAAGGGATTTGGGACTTGAAGGGCTGCCCTGTGGCTGACGTGTGAGCTGGCTGGAATGTTCCGGGTGTTGTCGGGATGGAGGTGCAGTCCAGAGCTGTGGAGGTCATGCGCATGATGGGGGTGCGTGGGGATGGGAGGCTTGCTGCATATGTTCCTGCTGTGGGAGTTCCTCGGGGCAGGCTCTGTGAGCCAGCGGTGGCCGAGCGGGCCTGGGCTGGGCTTTGGTGGCCTGATCACAGGACAGAGAGAGGAAGAAATGGGTTCCCCATCTGGGTTTCCAGGAGTGACACTGGGAGGTCAGGAAACAAGAAAAGATTTGCTTGTCTCTCACACGAAGGCAAGCACAGGTGAACCGACCGCCGGTGGCGACCTGCTTGAATGGTTGCAGGTTCCAGCCTCCCCGAGGTGCCTTGGGAGACAGGCCCCAGCACCTGCTTGGGAAGCTCAGTCAGTTTGGCTGACAGCCTTGGGGTCCCCACTGAGCCAGGCAGCTCAGTGTTTCCTTTTTGCTCCCTCCCTGCTAACTGCCTGGAAGTGACGTCACCTTTCTTCAGGGCTTGTCTCTCACTGCCAGTGCTGTAGGACAGGGTAGAACGCCCCCGTGGGTCTCAGACATGAGTAACTCGCTAAGCAGGAGTAGAAAGTCTTGTCTTTCTCCCTCAGAGTGGCTAGCGGTTTTGAACTGCTGACGCTGTAGTTGGCAGCCGAATATGTAGCCATTATGCCCCCAGGGCTGTAGAAGCCCTCAGTGTGTGTGAGGTTGATTTGAGACTGCCTCTTGTTTGTGTCGGGTGTGGCACGTATGCGTATTTCTGAGGGCTGCTTTTTATAAAAAAAAAAGAGGGAGGGGGAGAGAGAAATAGCAAAGCAAAACAAAACCAAAAAAAAACAACAACAAAAAAACAAGAAAAGCACACAGAATTCCAGATCTGTCAATGGTTTCTCTCCTTTTCCTGAATCGTGTTGTCAGCATGTCTTTCACCTGTCGTGCAGGGTCCTCGTGCAGTCATGTTCCAGAACATTCCCTTCTTTCTCTTGCGCATTGGTGTTAGCTCCCCATTTCCCACCACCCCTGCTTGCCCCTCCAAACCAAGCCAAGCCAAGCTCGCTGGCACCAAGTTGGTGCCCCCTCACAGCAGCCCTGTCAGAGAGGGTATCTGTTCCCTGTGGGTTTCTCAGCCCCTCACGCTTTACGGGACTGGCAAGTCTCAGCTCTCTCCCATGGAGAGGAGCGGCGTGTGGTTCTGACCCGTGAACCTTGCAGATCACAGCCCCACATGTGAACACTCTGCCACCGTACTGATCACTCTAGTGGATGTCTCTCCAGATTTTGCTCCCCTCGCCTGGAATTCACACAAGGTCCTATTCTGCTGTGCACCAGAATGTCCCTTCCCTCCATACATGGCCCAGTGGTTATTTTTGGCCACCACCACCGCGGGCTCAAAGGATGCCCATGGTGTGAGGGCGGTGCCGGCCGATTGGTCTGCATTCCATGCTGCTGTGAGTCAGGGCCCGTTCTGCGAGAGTGGGGTGCAGTAGGAGACCCTGGAGCTGCATGGGCCCCACGTCGGCGAGGGCAGCTAATGTGCACAGGCTGCAGTGTGCTGGTCAGGGTGCTGGCGGGAGGGGCAGCGGTACCTGGGTGGGAGCGCTGAGTTTCTGTGCCTGCTGGGAGACAGTCTGCAGAGGGAGGGACTGGGTGACGGTGGGGCTGCTTGGTGGCTGTCACCGGTGTCCTGATGCGTACTCATGAGAACTGTCGTTGGCAGATGTGTTGTGCGGTTTTACACACACGCCCACTGAGGCATTCCAGACTCCGTGCATGTCTGCCAGTGGATATGGGGGGTCACGGGTGCTGAGGGCTGTCCACTGAGGGCCCTCCTCTGAGGACCATCCACTGAGGACCGTCCACTGAGGACTATCTATCCACTGAGGGCCGTCTACTGAGGACCGTCCACGGAGGGCCATCCATCCACTGAGGACCATCCATGGAGGGTCGTCCATCCACTGAGGACCATCCACCTAGGGCTGTCCATCCACTGAGGACCATCCACTGAAGGCCGTCCATCCACTGAGGGCCGTCCATTGAGGGCCATCCATCCACTGAGGACTAACAACTGTGGACCATCCATCCACTGAGGACTAACAACTGTGGACCATCCATTCACTGAGGACTATCCACCTAGGGCTGTCCATCCACTGAGGATTGTCTACTGAGGACCGTCCACTGAGGGCTGTCCACTTTGGACCGTCCATCCATGCAGACCATACAATGAAGGCCATCTGTCCACTGCAGACCATCCACTGCGGACAGGAGCTCTGTGTGGCCCCCGCCGAGGAATGACCCTGGTGACCTGCTGCGTGATCGATCAATTGACTTAGCGCCTTTCTCCCTCCCTTCCACTCTGCACCTGGAACTCTGCTCTCCAGGCAGGCTCCGTGGCTCTCCCGTGGCGCCGCCCACAACACACACACCACATCCACAATGGGTGGGGGTTCGGCAGCGCTCTCCAGCACCTGCAGGCCGTGCTCCTTCTCTGGACCGGCTTCGGGCAGTGGACTCCTCTCTAGCCCTGAAGGTGCTAATCCTGCAGCAGCTCAGAGCTCAACAGTCCCCCTGAGGCAGGTGGTACAAACGTAGCCCTGCCCCACCGCAGGACCAACCCCAGCCCAGGTGCTGGCCCTAGCCTGGTCAGCCGGGTTTCGTTGGGCCAGCAGCTGTGCAGGTACAAAACACGATCTTTGGTCCTCTCATGCTGGTTCAGTGCATGTCTGCATTGGAGCTGAAGCACCCCTGCACCTGTGCTCACCGCAAGGTCCGCGATTTCAAGCCCACCAGCTGCTCTGCTGGAGAAAGCAGAGGCTGTTGGCTCCCAATAATAGGAGGCTTGTGAGTTGGAATTGAC